ACACATGTTTACACAATGATGTATGTTCAGAGGGAACTATTATTGGCAGTAATTAAAATATCTAGGTTTTCAGAAATACGCTTAAAAACATTTTAGTAAATATGCATCTTTCAATGGTTAAGATCATGAGTCAGTTGAAGCTAGACCACCATGGAAAACCTGGAAGCAATGGACGGCCATTTCGTCCTAGTATGGGACTCTTCAGCAATGCGCATCTACGACCTCGCCCCCTGCGAGATTCGGACCCAGGACCTACTGGTTTCGTGCGCGAACACTTAACCACTAGATCACTGAGTCAGCATCCAACGGTGTTAATGTCTAACTTCAATTAATCCACGAAATTGAGCGAAACTAGTAAGTCATGGGTCCGAATCTCGCAGGGGGCGAGGTCGTGAGTACGCACTTCTGAGGAGTTGCACAATAGGACGAAGCGGCCGTCCAGTGCTTCCAGGGTTTCCATGGTGGTCTAGCTTAAACTGACTCATTATCTTAGCTATTGAAATTACTTTACTATCTACAAAACCCATCAAATATGCATCTCTCAAATAAAACATTAAAATTAAACAATTAATGAAAATATTATATTATTACTAACCATTTAAGTTTATGCTGATTACAAATTATGCTGAAGTAAATTAACTCGAACGAGTATCCATGAAAGAATTATAAATTTAATTACAAAATATACTACTTATTAACGTAGGTTATTTTGTTATTGTGGATTATAATACCGAAAAGAAATGAGATCAAAGGAATAATTGAAGAAAAAGAAAATAAAAGTTTCTGGTTAAAAAAAATATTTTGCTAATGGTAGAATTAATTCAGGGCGTAACCTAAGATTGAAGCAAAGCATACCCAAAAATAAATTTTAGTTTAATCGGCCAACATTTATTCAATCTGAATTAAATAAAAAATGTTAAATAAATGCGAACTTATACATCATGTGAAAATAATTAATTTATTGTTATTTAATTCAGTTTTGTACTGTTTATTTGAATCTTCTCATTGATGTTCTGAACTGCAATTGATTAGTCTTCTGTTGACATATGTGCACCCCATGCAGATTACCTCAATGGTGCCTCAAGTTACAAGCATTATGAGCAGAGGTGGGCGGTGGCTAATTTGGCTCAGCAGCTGTGTGGATGACGCGATAGCGTTTACAGCAAATGGTACTGGGTTCGAGTCCCAGACTGAATATTAATGCTGGGATATAGACACGTCCAGTTGATTATTTTAAGTAGAACGAGACGCGGGTCCTAGAATCTACTGCTGGTCACTATCCATCGTTACTTTTATTTGTTTAAAATTCTGATCATTACTTACCACTACAAGGTTTTTTTGTTCTTTTAAAGTAAATCCAGCTTTATTACTTTTTTCAAGTTCTTATGAATTAATTATCACGAATTTTATTAACGTAAGCTCAGAGTCTTTATTCGATTTTTTGTTCTTATTGAAATTAATAACCAAAAGTTAATATGTGCCAGTTTATACTATAGAAGTATTTCTTAAAGCTTATGCATATTGGCAGTGTATTTTGTTTTTATACTTTCTACTGTTTCCTCCAGAATTTGATAGAACGCTCAATGAATAACAATGAATCTTCGCGTCATATCAACGTTTTACTGTATAATAAAATACAGTTGATACATGTCGATTTAGAAAGTCATGTTTAAAAATGTAAGCCAGTATATTTAAACAATAAATAATGTACATTTTATCAAAAAATTTTCTATTTGACAACAACAATTCTTGTTTTAATGTTACCACATTTAACTGTGAAGGTTGGAAAGATTTTGAAATGTTTGCTAACAATTACTTTAATCTATGTAGTTCCTGTTTAGTGAATAATTTGTATTACTATTGGTTATGTATTGACAAGATTACAATGAATAGTGTTCCCTGAATGGTACCATGTGAAAATCTATTTTACATCTTGAATTTATAAATATATTAAAGAGATTTAGAAGATATCAACATGATCCATAAAAAGAAGTTCTATACATTCTACAAGTTATTTATTTAACCTTAAAGAATTAAATTTATTATTTCCTCATTTCATTGTAAACTTTACTTGATCATTTATAAACTAACGTTTATATCTATCAATTACAAAAATAAATACATCATCCATGAAGTATATTAAAGAAATAAAATGTCAGCCAATTCACCAAAATTACTACTAATAATTATGAATAAAGATGAATGGTGGCTAGCAGTGGAGTCTGAGACACGTATTTCGTCCTATTTGGGGCTCGTCAGTAGTGACAAATAACATAGATATATATATCTTTAAACCACTAGCTTTGATTTAGAGTTAACTGATAACTAAGTAAATATCAAGTTAATGCGGTAAGCACCAAATATTTCTCTCCTTTGCAATAATTCTAATTATATCAATAATCAATGATGATATTAGTATTTCACAGTGTAGTATAACTGAGGTTATTAGAATTAGACAACTCAGTTATTATCAACTTTTATCAATTGTTTATTATGAATAATAAGCAAAAGTAAATATTAATTTCCCAAATAGTGTTGCCAAGGTAATCAAAATGAACATTTCAATAATAAAATCTTATAAACAATAATTGAAAAAAGATTAAAAAAAATTATTCACCCTAAATCCAAACGACATAACAACTGGTTATTTTTTTAAAAAGAATCAATCATTCAATTAAACTAAACAAACTGATGTAACTCTTTTCAATATTTTTTTTGGATAATCACTTATGTAATTGGAATTTTGTTTTGTTTTCTATTAACCAGAAAACGAAAGATCATTATCATGTATTTAATGAGAGAAAAAATAAACGGTATACTAAAGACGATAGTTGACAGAACGATTGTGTTGGTCGATAGATGAGATACTCTTAAATTTATTTATAATTTAATTATATAGATTGAAACAATCTGTATAAATTTAGGCTCATAGTCAATTTGGAGATTCTTTTGTAGGTCAATGTTGATTGAAAGAATTACAGTTATAAACTTGATATATTTATTTTCATAAGTCAATTTAAGCTAGAGCATCATTACTACAATCTCTACAAACCCCCTCCTGATATAAATATATATTAATTACCATTATTATTATTATTGATATTATTATTATCCACATCATTATTAGGACTATTTAAGTTACCCCGTTGTTGACATTCCTGATCCAGCTTATATCAGTCATAGTTAATAATTGCTCATCTTGTGCGGATTACGTTAAAGAAGTCATTTTTAACAAGTTTCTATTCAATTTCATAAACTGTGGTTAGCAGTGAATTTCTGAACACAAATCTTGTTCCATTTAAGACTTATCAGCTAGCCACAATTCATAAATTGAATCAAAACTTGTCAAAATTGACTACATCGAGGTTATCCGCAAAGGGTGGGAAAATACCAACTAAGACTGATAAAAGCTCAGTAAAGAATATCAACAACGGAATAACTTAAACTGTCCTAATGATGATAAAAGTATCATACTAGTTGTACAAATGAGTAACTACCTGGACTTCACAGCTAGTTGAGGAAAAACATGTTAATTTTGATTTCCAGTGTGAAAATCAAACTAGGATGCATCTACAAATACCTCATTAGTCTCAAATTAAACAAAACTGGAGTCCTGAACTTTACTGCTAGCCATTATTCACATATTTAATAGCAGGGATCATTATTATTAGTCAAAGTGATATAAACATGTCTAAAGTCACAATTAAAGTGAGTTATATAATATAGAAGTACTATATATTGCATTTTACCCGATTAAATAGATTCAAAAATTGACTACCCAATCCAAAAACAGATGAACACAAAAATCTATCAACTAAACTACTCGTTTTCTAAACATAAACAGCTATAAAAAACAACTTACAATCTGTTCAATACTAAAATGTGGCAAACCAGATTACTGATTTACTCCACCTGGAGCCCCTCTGGGGCTACTGCCGGTTCCAAGCCCAGATAAAAGAAGGGGGTTCGGCACAGTGTTAGCCACCCCATCCCGTAAAAAACTAACTCGCTAAAAAACGCTAACCAGAAAAAACATTTCACACCATTTAAACTCTGCCCTGGGAGCTAGAAGGTTTTCATTTTGAAGAGTTATGATGCCTCATGGTGAAAGCCACGTTCCTTCGGAAGTCACGAGGCTGATGCCTCATCTGGCAACTAGAGCAACCATTAATTAAGTACATGGAATGCTCGTACATTATAGGAGACCGGGAGAGTCCTTCAAATTGCTGCAGAATTTACTGATTTTTCTCTTTAACAAATGTAAATCATTCAACTAATGTTTATAATTACTCAGTAAATTTACATAAGGATATTTTATTAGTATATGTAATGAGTTTGAAAAAAATATCGGGTAGTTTAGTTATTATTGAGTAAACTATATTGTTATTTCTACTTATACTCTTGTATGAGTCAGACGTCTATTTCTTAGAGTAAATGATTTCGGTTTTGTGGTATACATCCTCTTGAAATTCGAATCGGACAATGGACCTAGGTTCTGGTAAAAGTTGACTTATATTAACAGGACAATTTTGAAATGTTGAAATATTCCTATTGTGATATGAAGTTGTGTTATTTAGTATTATAATTGCAAGCATTCATGCTGAAAAATGCAAGCCTGAGCAGACGCTTTATTGGAGTAAGGTGTTCATATCAATCGATCACTGGTTTGCAAACGATTTAGTATTATCTGGTCGATAATGTTAACTCGATTTCAACTGTCAAGCTGGAATATAAATACTAATATGGGTGATTTAACATCTACCTGGAACTCAATTATTGTTACCTGTAAGATCCATTTTGAAGGTTTTGTGTGTTGGTGAAAATCCCTCCATGTATATACTTGTACTTTGTTCCTATTGATTCCCTTAGTTGTACATTGTTGTATTTTGATTACATTTGAGTTGTTAATACTTGTATTTTTTATTATAGTTTTTGTTTTTCTTACGCATTCACTAAGTTTGTGTTTCTTCCTGAACTGCATCTGTGTTGTTTTACTTGACACTTGTTCTTGGCGGTAGCCATATTGATTTGTTCCTCCTGTTGTGTGTGATCTATCCAGCCAGGATAGAATAACGTTGATTTGTTGTGATTGGTAATTTTTCCTCATCTTCTATCAACTTCTTTATTATTGTAATTTAGATTTAATTGATTGAACAATCATTGGTTGAATAGCCGGGTGATAATATTTGTTTAGGTAATGATTTACATTAAATTTATTATGAATTATAGAACCGCTAGTTACCCGATTACTTGTTCTGATTTCGACGGGAAAGGGCGCGTGTCTAAAAGTCCCCGGTAGGCTATTCTTCAACATCCAAACCGTAGTTTGGATTCTACAGTTCTAAACAATTATTAATTGGCCGAAGTCGTTTGGCAATCGTTCGCGGATTTGATTATCGTTTCTGGAAATATTTGGTCGTTTCGTCTATAATGCCAACTAATCGTCGAAGGAAATCAAGTTCAAAGTTCGTTGATGTTAATGAAGAATCCCCTATTACCAAGCAAGTGCCTTTTGATGTCCTTAAGTGTCATGGTTCAGACTCGAATAGGGTTGATTATCATGGTAGTGACTCTAGTCTTAATTCGATGACAGATGACGTAAAAAATCTTAGTTTAAAGGAGAAGCAAAGGCTTGAATTATCAGGAAGAAGCGTTTTGCCTATAGCGCCTGTTGTTGGTCTAGAACTACCAAAGGTTGAATTGAGTTATTTTGATGGAGAGCCAAAAGGATACTGGAAGTTTATAAGACAATTTGAGACGTATATAGCATCAAGAGTCACCGATGATAGCCAACGTTTGCTCTATCTCATGCACTATTGTAAGGGCAAGGCGAAGACAGCTATCGAAGGTTGTGTCATGATGGAAGCATCCTCTGGTTATAAGAGAGCAAGGGAAATTCTAAAGCGTTTGTTCGGTCAGTCTCATGTAATCGCTCGAGAAACATTAGAAGATTTATTTAATGCTGTTAATTTTGATTATACTGACGGGGAGCAACTATCAAACTTGGCCATTAAAATGGAAAACTGCGCTATGGTCTTAGAACAGATGAATTATAACTCTGATCTAAATTCGTTAGTTACTTTGGAAAGAATAGTAAGACTATTACCTCAAGTTATGCAAGCCCAGTGGGCGGATAGGGTGGATCAATTGACGGAAGATAATAGAGAACCGACTTTTGACGAGCTTACCCAATTTATAGCGTCCCGCGCAAGAGTAGCTAATAGTAGGTTTGGACGGTTAGCGAGTCGTCCGAGAAAGGGACACAACTTAAAGACAAATTGTCACTTGCAATTAGAGCAGGAGGGTAACTCTAGAGCTAAATGCAGGGTGTGCTCCCAGGACCACGCTATTTATAAATGTCCAAAATTTTTAGCGCTTACCGTTCAAGAGAGATGGTCTCAAGCAAAAGTTAATGGCATCTGTTTGGTCTGCCTTAGGCAAGGGCATAAAGTTAATGAATGTAAGCTGGCGAAACGTTGTAACGTTAATGGTTGTGAGAAGAAACACCATTCCTTGCTGCACAGCGAAAATGATAAATCTGATATCCCGAATTGTTGTGGATTTACTAAATCCCTAAGTAGCCAAGTGTGCCTAGGAATGATCCCTGTACGGTTGATGTTAGGAGATGCCGAAATGGTAGGTTATGCTTTGTTGGATAACGGGTCTGATGTAACGTTGATAAAATCGAGCTGTTTGAGGTGTCTCGGGCTGAAGGAAGACCGAGCGTCAGTGGTAGTAGAGACTGTGGGTGGTAATAGGACAATGACGGTCACAAAGACCCCTTTTGAGGTATATTCTCTAGATCGGTCAGGACATGTTACGATCGAAGGAGCTCTGATTGTGGCAGATATACCAGGTCATAAGCCAACAAGGTCGGCAGTGGACAACCTAGTTAAATGGCCACATTTAAGGGATGTACCAATAGATAACTTCGACTCTGAAGAAGTTCTGCTGTTGATTGGTTGCGACGTACCAGAAGCACACTGGGTGTTAGACCAGCGGTTGGGTGGAAGAAAAAGCCCGTACGCTGTGAAGACGTTGCTGGGTTGGACGGTTTTCGGACCCGCGTCGTATCCGGAATATAGGAAAAGAGTGGTCAATCATACCAGTAAGATACAGACCTTGGAGAACGAAATACGTAAACTTTATGATGTAGAGTTTTCTGACGTTTATTCAAATGATAAATCATTATCACTAGAAGATAAGGCGGCTATAAGGATTGTGGAAAGGGGCACACGCTTCGAAAATGGGCATTTTGTAGTTCCTATACCATGGAAAGTGAACCCAAATATGAAAGGGGAGAATTATGAAGTGGCAAGCAGTAGACTACAGAGTTTGAAGCGTAGATTGTTGAAAGATGACATTCTGTATATCAAGTATACAAAAGGCATTGAAAGTAACTTTATTAAGGGCTATGCGGAGAAGATCCCCGAACTACAATTGCAACCTAGTTATCGCCCTAGGTGGTACTTGCCTCACCATGCAGTTATAAACCCGAAAAAGCCAGAAAAACTGAGAGTAGTTCTTGACTGTGCCGCCAAGTTTGCAGGCGTTTCTCTAAACGATATGATTTATCAAGGACCCGACACAACGGCTGAGTTAGTGTGTATATTATTGCGTTTTCGCAAAGAGGCAGTCGCAGTCTCTGCGGATGTTGAAGAAATGTTCATGCAAGTGAAGGTCCCTGAGTCTGATCGAGGAGCTTTAAGATTTCTGTGGTGGCAGAGGGGAGACATGTCGAAAGAACCATCCGAGTTTCAAATGACATCCCATCCATTTGATGCCACATCCTCGCCGTTTCGTGCGAACTTTCCCTTGAATAAGACGACCCAAATATTCTTGGACGGTTATGATGGTTATGTTGTAGATGATGTCAAGAATAATTTCTATGCTGATGATTGCTTGATATCCATTCCCACTTGTGATCAAGCAAAGAGTTTCGTTAAGCAGATAAGTGAATTATTATGTAGAGGAAGTATACAAAAAATGACCGATCTTGGATCTTGGTTCAAATGTCCTACTTTATTGCATGACGAATTTTATATAACAATCACTGACTGTCCGGAACCTACTCCTGACGATATTGAATTTAGAAAACCTGCTGTGGTTAACTTGAGTAGTATGAAGTACAACATGACACCTATTCTGTCTTATTATTCCGAGTGGTTGAAATTAGTCAGAGCTGTAACCTGGTTTAGAAGGTTCATCGAATTCCTGATGGTACTTCGTTTACCGAGTTGTGAAGGATCCGTTCATCTAGGATGTTTAAAGGTTAAAGAGCTTGAGATTGCCAAGCGTAAGATTTTATTGATGGTTCAGAGAGAAGTGTATGGAGAATTACTTAGTGAATTTAAGAACAGCAGTAAAGTAGTAAGCCATGATGATCTGAAAGGTTTATCGTTGATGATGCTTGATGGGTTACTCTGCGTTGGAGGTCGACTAAGATACTCAGATTTCCCAAATGCTTTTAAACATCCAGTAATTTTACCCAGTCGACACTTAGTGACGGAAATGATAGTTAGACATTGTCATAAAGAACAAGGACATATAGGGAGATCATTAGAAAAAGGGTATGGATATGTGTTTACTTGTTTGCAAACATGGGCAGTACATATTGAAATGATGTGTAATTTGATTTCTGATTCATTTTTAATGGCTCTATTACGCTTTATTGGAAGAAGAAGGAAACCTCCAGAGATTTACAGTGTCAGTGCGTCAAGCTTCGTGGGGACAGTTTCTGAGTTAAGCAAGTTTGTGCAGCAGTCGAATCAGAAGATAAACATTGAATTGTCAGCGAGGCCCTCATCCAACAGCATGGGTGGAGTTTGGGGAAGAGTGATTAGGTCTATATCACGACTGTTATCGTTGACCACCAGAGAACAGGTGAAGCAGGTCTCCTTGAAGCTTTGGATTAGTCTTTGTTGTTATTAATGTAGTTAGGTCGAGTAGGCGTACTGTTGTAAGTCCTACTCGTTCCTATGATGTGATATGTTATATAATGAACCATGACCGTAGGCATCAAGGTAGCTTGTGTGGTATGGAGGGATTTTGGGGGCCGGTGTAAGATCCATTTTGAAGGTTTTGTGTGTTGGTGAAAATCCCTCCATGTATATACTTGTACTTTGTTCCTATTGATTCCCTTAGTTGTACATTGTTGTATTTTGATTACATTTGAGTTGTTAATACTTGTATTTTTTATTATAGTTTTTGTTTTTCTTACGCATTCACTAAGTTTGTGTTTCTTCCTGAACTGCATCTGTGTTGTTTTACTTGACACTTGTTCTTGGCGGTAGCCATATTGATTTGTTCCTCCTGTTGTGTGTGATCTATCCAGCCAGGATAGAATAACGTTGATTTGTTGTGATTGGTAATTTTTCCTCATCTTCTATCAACTTCTTTATTATTGTAATTTAGATTTAATTGATTGAACAATCATTGGTTGAATAGCCGGGTGATAATATTTGTTTAGGTAATGATTTACATTAAATTTATTATGAATTATAGAACCGCTAGTTACCCGATTACTTGTTCTGATTTCGACGGGAAAGGGCGCGTGTCTAAAAGTCCCCGGTAGGCTATTCTTCAACATCCAAACCGTAGTTTGGATTCTACATTACCTACTTTAAGCATCAGTAAACTGGTTTCGCTTGTAAATATAACTTTCAGTAAGGATTTCTCTTTGAGATGATGGTTGAAAGTAGTTGACAGGAAACCCTGGACCTAGGTTTCATACTGCTTGGCATTCGTTAGCAAGGCGCACCTGAAATCTTGAAAGAACTGATGCTCAAGATTACAGGTACGCTTTGCTGACCAGTGTCAAGCAGCCCAGAACCTAGGTCCAGGGTTTCCTGTCAACTACCTCCAACCACCCTCTCATCTCAACATAATGCACTCAATGTCGAGTTTCCTAGACTAGTGGCCACATTTCGACTTGGTCTATAGAATATGATCTGCACTAAGAAGGGATTTCTCTCTGCTAGTGAATACAAGCAGTACACCTTTTACTCATTGGTTAATAATAAGATATCCATTGCCTATCAATTATATCGCTTTCATTAATTTCAATATGATGTTAGCCTTTATTAATGTAATGAATATTACTAGTATGTTTTGCTCTAAACTCCAACAGGACCCTCTTCTGGTTGCTATATTTATATGGTATTATATAGTGAAAAGTCAAACGATTGGGGTATCTTGTTATAGAATTGACTAAATCACTTTTATGAAAATAATGGACCATGATATAGTTTATATTTGCTTTATCCAAATAATGTTATATACTGATAAGGAAACAAAATATTTCCAATTAAAACATATGCCCAAATAATGATTTAAATTAATCATTACCTGACATGAAACAGAACAGTCTATGGTTTGACTTCTTGGCCATTTACATATTTCGAGGCACTAAAAATTGAAGTAACAATAAAAACAAATGAAGGACATTAGTTTTAATTACGTTTATTAATTTAATTCTAATAAGTAAGAACATGATATATTAAATATACTTTGTAATTTTAAGATATAACTGTAGTGAACGAGAACATAAGTGAGGACAATCAAATGTATTTGAATACAAAATTACAGAACATCTTAGTACAATCTGAGAACCATACAGTAAACACTTCATTTGCGAAATGTCAATCAATCGTCTCAAACTTCATTGTTTCTTAGTTCCCACACCAATTATTTCTTGTTCTCGTTCTCTTTTCTTTGATCTTCTTAACCTTCTGCCTTCAGGCATTTTACTTTCGACTGGTGATACATACTACTTATATCTGTCGACATCAGTAGCACACACCACATAACTACAATTTCGTTAAGTCGAATTAATATAAATACTAAGTTGCTTGAATAATAAGTGAATAAAAGATATATTAGTGGAATATATTAAAGGAAACCCCAAGGAACCAATTTATACGAATATTAGAACGAACAGTTTGACAGAAATTAGGCGTTGAGTACGTAGAAGATATTATATGTGAAAATTATATATGAAATAATCTCAGCAATTGAAATTTAAATAATTTTGATTATTGCCCTGAAGATGCCCAGACAAGTTTGTTGGACAAAACGTTGGGATTTTTTAAATTTTAATCGCTGAGATTATTTCAAATATAATTTTCACATATAATATCTACAAGAAAACAGTATAGATTACTTTCACCAAGATTGTTGATATGAAATGAATATAATGACATATTTAAATTTTCATTGCCTATCCTAATTTATCCCTGTAACTAGATATTAATCTATAATAATCTTATATAGTTGAGTGACTAGTATTTGTAATAAGACATTTTTATCGTCTATCTAACTGATACTCCTTCTGAGACTCAAATATTCGCATGTTATTACTTTAACTGTAAATAATACTATCCATACAACTATTTAAAAGAGATTTACTGTTAGCTGATCTATACAAACATTCCTTGGACATAATCTTTAATGCCATTTTGCTACTCATAAACTTCTTAGCATATATTTGTTTCAATCTGTTGATGTTAAGTTATATAAGTGAATTATGAAGTTCATTCAGTTTTATAAAATGTTGACTCGAGTTGTAGATCAGTTGTTCACTGTATTCGCTGATATAATAAGACTTTTGTTCGATGTATATAAAAGGCTCTATGCAGATTTGTACTCATCATCATTTTACACAACCAAGACAGTTTTTTCTTACGTTCAATAAAAACTGTTTAAAATTATTGCCTAATATGGTTTCTATTTGAAATGAATTATAATAAGAACGGATATTTATACTAATCGGAAGGGCGTTTGTGGAGATTTTAGGAACTTCACTGGTTGAAATCATGAATCAATTGGAGCTAGACCACCATGGAAAACCTGCAAGCCCTGGACGGCCGTTTCGTATGGGATTCCTCATCAGTGTGCATCTTTCATCCAGCACCCCACGAGATTCGAACCCAGGACCTATCAGTCTCGCGTCAGGTGCTTAACCAACCAGACCACTGAGCCGGCATCCAACAGTGTTAATGTGTGACTTCAACGAATCCACGAAGTTGCGCCACCGCACTGCTGAGGAGTCCCAACTAGGACGAAACGACCGTCTAGTGCTCTCAGGTTTTCCATTGACTCATGATTTCAACCAGTAAAATTATACTAATCATCAGTCGTTTGTTAATTATTTAATTAAAAGTCATTAAATGTTTATATTATAAACATTGAATAAACACTTTCATACTTCATATGTACAATATTTTGTAGGAATGAATCTTTCAGTGATTCTATTCATCTTGTACCGGCCTATGCTCCATTAGGAGTAACAGGCGTAAGTAAGTAAAGTATGTATTTATCTTGTACATTATATGAATGTATTCAGGACTAGATCTTGGACTATCCCATTGAATTGTTAAACATTTATCTAATTCAATTCTTTATAACTATATAGTTCAATTGAATTATAAGTTGGAAAATGAATTTACTAAGTTAATTTACTCTAATAAATCATTATAAAAGATAATTCTTCAGTTTAAGGAACAATTTAATAATAAGTAGTATAGATAATTGTGATACAATATTTTCTCTGATATGATAATCTTGGTGAATATTTCATCTAATCAAATTTTATGAGAAAACATTAACCATTCTGCATCTGTTTTAAAAATATACCTTTGAGCTTTGATCTTTCTTTGATATTTATTTTAATTTAGCCTCAGGCAATGGAACTAAATACTAATAGAAAAACATTTTTGTTATTCTATAAGAATAAGGAGTTTTTTTTACATCCAATGATAATTCTATTAGCTTATTGATAAACTATTAGAAAATGAAACTAATGTATTATAGATCCTTTTTTCCGTCATTAGACATCAAGAATCAAAGCCTGGAATCAAAATAACGAATAAATATATACTATCAGATAAGGAATTTATTGAAAAGACATTTATGCGTGGCAAAAGATAGATTGGTAAAAACATGGTAAAATGATTAGTAGCTTATCCAGGAATTGTTTATTTTTTCTCATTTAAGTAGTTATTTTTGTTCTGTTAATTATTGACAATAATATTTTTCATAGTTACTTACTATGGTTTAGTTAGTCAATATTAAGAAGACATTAACACCGTTGGATATCAACTCAGTGGTCTAGAGGTTAAGCATTCGCGAGCATGATTGAAGGCCTCGGGTTCAAATCCCGAGTGCAGGATTGTGAATGCTCACTGTAGAGGAGTTCCATAATAGGACGAAGCAAGTTATCCAGTGTTTCTACGTTTTCAATGCTGGTCTAATATTCATCTATTCATTGATATCATTTGAAATTCAACAATCTCTACATTCCTATACTGATATTTTTAAAATGTTAAATTTACTACTTACAAATAACACAAAATGATATTGATAACAAATGGTTAAAGTTAGTTTGAGTAATTCATTTCGTATCCTAAATGTTTATTGGAGATTTTTAACTTCAAAGTTTATCCTTCATAAGGAGTTAATCACTAAAAACACTGTGATATATATCAAGAAAAAAACGAAGGTCAGAATTATGAGATTAAAACAAGGTTTTAACTATTTTACCCATACAGGGTACACATCTAATTCATAGCATACAAATGATACATAATTCTTTGGTGAACTTTTGTTTCCTTAAAACAAACTTCATAAAATGAATAATATTTCTAAATGAATACAAATTTTTGTTTGTCAGCATTGATGAAATAAGAAAAAAAGAGTAATGTTGATAAAATGATGCATCTATTCCATAGAAAGAAAAAGACAATTCATGAAGTGCAGGTTTACTATTGACATGAATGATTAATTTTTTGTCATTATATTTAAAAAAATTTCAATTCATTTTTGGATTAGTTGTTTGAATAACCCTGTTGATATATTGAACTGCAGTTGATCAGTTTCTTATTGGCGTATGTGCATCCAGTGCAGATTATCTTGATATTGGTTTAAGTCACAAACATTATAAACAAAGGAGGATGGTGGCTAGCGGTGAAATCCAGGACGCTCACTTCCTCCTATTTGGGACTCGTCAGCTGGATATACCTACATTCCAGAGTTGATATTCACTTCGGGACTAGAACCCAGTACTGTTCACTTCAAATGCCATCACGTTATCTACTTAGCTACCGAATCCAGAGAGCTTGTCCAGGAGCGAACATCAAGTTTGGAATGGAGGTACGTTCAGTAGATGAGGTCCAAACAATGCGAAACGCGCTTCCTGGATTTGACTACTAGCCATTATCTATCTTTGCTTACAACTTTTGCTTTATGCTAATGGAGGTGAATTTAAATAAAAAGCTTAGCATATAAAAAGATCTGAATATTCTGACGTAGCAATCATAGAAGATATATTGTATCGGCTAAAGTGAAATAACTTGCCAGAATTTAGGTAATATTGTGGTAAGTAATAAGCCTTGAGGATAATCAATACTCAAAATATGAATAATAACAAATCTTGTTATAATGAAGGGTATGGCAGAAGGCACGAAATACACAGCATTTCAAACAGCTCATCCACTTCATAAGGTTAAGAAATGGTTGATCAGC